TTTACCGCAACCACAACGTTTACGCCGCAGTGCCGCAGGAGCCGTACCGCTGGGCTACAGTCGCCGAGACCGCGCGCCGCGCCATGGCCGTCCGTTACGCCCTGCTGCCGTACATGTATTCCCTCTTCCGCTCTGCCCACTCGAGTGGCGACACGGTGCTGCGTGCCCTGGCATGGGAGTTCTCCGCCGATCCTGCTCTTGCTGCCATCGATACGCAATTTCTGCTGGGCCCAGCGGTCATGGTCGTCCCCGTCCTCGCACCCAACGCCAACCAGACTGCGGGCGTCTTTCCCGGTGTTGCCCAGGGCACCCGCTGGTTCGACTGGTATAGTGGGACGGAAGTTGTTGCGAAGCCCGGCGAGAACAAGACGCTGAATGCTCCAACGACCCATATTCCCGTGTTCGTGCGTGGTGGCCATGTCCTTCCTCTACAGGAGCCGCTACGGACGACAGCAGCAGCGCGGCAGTCTCCCTGGAGCTTGCTCATTGCGCTGGACAGCAGCGGTGAGGCGAGGGGTTCGCTGTATCTGGACGATGGGGAGAGCGTTGCCCCGAACGCCACGCTGAACGTTGCATTTGTAGTGGCTGGGGGACGATTGAGCGTGTCTACTTTCGGCGAGTGGGAGGACATAAATACGTTGAAGGAGGTCAAGCTGTGGGGCCTGCAACAGGAACCGGAAACGGTGAAATTCGGCAAGACCGAGCTGAAAGATGACGCTAAGACGTGGGATAAGGAGAGTGGTGTACTAGTCTTGACGGGACTCAGTGACGTGATGGGTAATGGGACGACTGCGTGGGAGAAAGACTGGGTGTTGAGCTGGCAGTAGCGGCGAGGCCGCAAAATTTCCGAACTTGGGCGTAGAGAGGGAGACGTGGTAATGAGACGTAGATTCTAGTTGAGACAATGAGTTCCTTGAAAAGACTTCAAAGATGATGATCCAGGTGGTCATGGCCAAAAATCGTACAGCTTGAGCGTCGATCGAAAACAACTTGCTGTAGCGGCAAAATGATGACGCGGAGCTTTGCAGAGTGATGGTGTGGGTCATGTGCGGGAGCTGTTCAAGACAGCGGATTTCTAGCCGGACTCTGCAAGCGTACCTAGTCATCTGACAATTATGCCTGTTTTTGAGACGTAACCAGCGGGCTCCAACTTTGTTGCGCTGCGTTGCTCTGGTACCTACCTGGCAGACGGAGGGGTTGGTGACCAAATCAGGCAAGAGGGAGGCTCCGGAAGGACGAGGGATTCAAAAGTCGCCGCGAATCTCGAGCAGCACCAAGCTCAGTCGGCAAGAATCGCAGAACAAAAGAAAAAATGAATGGCAAGATCTTTTCAGGCCAATTTTAACTCGCTGCGTGAGCTGGCCGCACCTCAAAGGGCCCTGGTTGATGGGGAGAGCGATCAAATTGGAAGGGCTATGGCTCCTTCCAAGTCGAGACGCCTTCCGGCGCCATGGCTGGCAGAGGCTGGCATGACCAAGTCATCAGCGATAGAGGTAGACGTTTTCTGGGCGCCGAGAGTGAGAGATCAAAGCGAGGATTTTTGAGTTGCAAAAGGTGAGGTTTGCGGAGAGGTCGTGACCGAGGGAGGACGCGTCATTCATGGGGATTCCTTGGGTGGGTGGCCTCAAGCACGAGGCGATGATGTGGGGGGCTAGATTCTGCGAGTCCCGAGCAGGAGATGAGTATGGCGATGGTTTTTGGGAGAATCCACCAGGTGGTGGTGGAGTGGGAGGATGTAGTCAGTCAGTCAGTCAGTCAGTCACAATCGGCGGGTGTGCCGCTAGCGGTTGCCTGCATGGGATTAGCGTCAATAGCTCTAGGGAAGTACCTAGGTACCTCCCTCGGTCGACCACCAACTGTTCTTTTTCAACACCAACGTCACCTCTACTCGCTCCCGCCACATTCTTCCTCTCGACCGACCGCGCGCGAGGCCGAGTCAACTCGAGTCTTACCAACCGCCCGGTCGCCATGCCATGTCTTTTGCTTAGCCACCAAATTTCGGTTCCCTGCGACGCCGTTGTTTGCAACTGCCGAGCACTGCTCTCCCACGCGATTGACAGCGCCGGCGCCCCTCAGACAGTCATGCGAACATATCGCCTTAGTCCGGCCCGCTGCGAAGAATCTGGGGGAGACGCGCACGCGGATGACCGACTCCATGCTAGCTCTGCTCATGGCATGCGATTTGCAGCCCTACAATTGGAAGAGCCTTATGCCGCCCCTCGCCGCCGCGACAAGGAGCAATTGCTGGCCCCAGCCCTTCTCCTTTCGGCACGCGCCTGGCCTTGTTCTCCTTGGCTGCCCATGCGCTGACGTCTTCTGCTCCTGAAGACGCTCCAAACCTGCCAAATACTCTCCGCCCTTGTCCATGATTCACCTACGCCTGGCTGGCCTTTTGATTCAGATGATTGAGCCGGACTGACTTTGTCCTCCCATATCCTTCAGCTCCTAGCCCTCCGCTGCCCAGTGTGCCCGAATCTTGTGATTTTGTCTCATCTCATCTAGTGTCTAAACGGCATTAATATAAAGCCTCAGTCCAGCTTGCTGATTTCCTCCGTTTCAATCTCTCATCATGCCAGCAAGCAACGCAGTCAAGAAGCTATTTGGCTGTTTTGGGAGCTCCTCGAAGAAACTAGCCAAGGTTCCTCCCGTTCCCACCAACCGCCCTGTACCAGCGAACCCAAGCGAAAAACAGGCCGCACCCGCAGTCAATCTTTCCAATAAGCCCAACATGGCCAACGCTACTGCCACCACCTTGGATATTGGCATTGTCAACAAAACAAACTCGAGCACTGTCTATGCCTACATCACCGGGAGAGCTCTCGACAACAATAATGCTCTCTTTTTACTCCAGTCCGACGGCAAGACGGCCTATTATCCAACCTCTCCGTCGAATACACAGACTGCCCTCAGTCAAAATTGCTCAATTCCGCTTGGCGCCCCGGGAAGCACAACTACCGTGACTATTCCGCACCTAGCTGGCGCACGCATTTGGTTCTGCATCGGCGAGGAATTGACTTTCTTGCTCAACCCAGGTCCGGCCCTGGTCGAGCCCTCCGTCACCAACCCCACCGATCCAAGCATCAGAAAGCGCTGGGACTTTGCCGAGTTCACGTGGAACACCACCGAGCTGTATGCCAACATCACTTATGTTGATTTTGTTTCCATTCCAATCGCTTTGGACTTTGAAAATACCTCTGGTGCCACATCGCACGTCGCTGGCATGGACCAAAACGGCCTCGACACTGTTTGCTCCGGCCTACAGGCTCAAAGTGCTTCCGATGGCCAAGGCTGGTCCAGTCTCATTGTCAAAGCGTCTGATGGAAGCAACCTTCGAGCACTGTCTCCCAACGACGGCATCATCACCAACAGCTCTCTCTTTAGCGGTTACTACGATTCTTATGTCGACGCCGTCTGGAACAAGTACTCGTCAGACACCCTGAACGTCGACACACAAGCCAGCTATGGAGTTCTTGCCGGCAAGGTCAGCAACGGCGTCTTGACTGTCGGATCTGAGACCTTTGCCAAACCCTCTGCCGCCGACATTTTCAGGTACGTCGACCAAAAATACTCTGTTTATGCACAAGACTAATTTCTCCACAGTAACTCCACCGGACCTTTTGCCAACCCTTCCGGCTCCGTCGAGCGCAACGCCATCATCCCGCGCCTGGCAGCAGCCTTCAATCGCAGCACGTTCCTCGTCGACACGAACACGCCTGCGGCCAGCACCAGCGACTACTACACCAACCCTGTCACGAACCACTACTCCCGCATCGTCCACGATGCTAACCTCGACAAGAGAGGTTACGCGTTCCCGTACGACGATGTCGCGCCCAGCGGCGGTTCTGACCAGAGCGGCGCTGTGTATGGCGCCCCAAAGACGTTTACCGTCACCGTTGGCGGCAATGGGGCTACGGCGTAGGCATCCAATGTCCGGTGTTAGATTGATGGGGTTGGGAGATGGGTAGGACTTGTCTTTGTAGATGGTTATGTCGCGGAGGGAGAGATAACGGTCTGTAAATACGCACCACTTGTTTTTGGATTTGTTTTGGATGGGACATCCGACTTGACAGGGTCATGGGGTAGACGGACCGGTGGCACGTTCATGTCCTCATGTCTTCACACACGCACGTACGTACATATGCTGTATATACACCACCTGCTGTATCTCAAGACACGTATACATGACTTACAAACAACTCTCACTTCCAAAATGGCCTCATAGCCTCACTCGTCCTGCCTGTCTACTTTTGCCATATCAATCAAGACCAACTCGGACCCTAAATATACCCCACCAACCCCTGCTCTCCCAATGATAACAGCAAGAGCATCAATCCATCCATCCATCCATCCATCGTGGTGTAGTGGTCTAGCATTCCAGACTCTCACACAGCCAAAGCGCCCCCGTCTAGCCGCATCTGGGCAGCGACTAGAAGAGCGTGGCAAGCTCACTGATTTCTGGAGACCCGAGTTCGATTCTTGGCGATGGAAGATCGATTTGTTTTTTTGGGTGCGTTGCTCCTTCTTCTTCTTCTTCGTCTTTTGTTGTTGTGGTGTTGTTGGTTCTGCGCTATGCTGGTTGGGGAAAGCTCTTGTTGGGCGAGCGGTTGATTTCTTTGGCGATGTTAGTATGCTTGAGTTGCCGGCGTGTTGTTGAGGTAGGAAGTGCAAGTGAAATGAACGCAGAGGGCGACGTGATGGTGGCAGAAGCGCAGCGCGGACAAAGGCGTTTTCGTGTGTTGGTAGAATCAAGTCACACAAACAGCTCTCTCTGCGGACGCCACTGCGCGAAACCCGCGAGAATCTTGAGAAGCGCAAGGGAAGTGCACATAGCAAGCAGCGAGGCAAACAAACAGTCGCAGACAAGAAGCCTGATACCTATTATGTAGGTAGACAAGCAAACCCATCCATCCCTCCCATCATCTCTCAGTACCACACCACACCAAAAGTGCCCATTTAATCTCAACTCCCTACTCACCCCCCCTTAACAACAAAACTCCAAATCCACCGTGGTGTAGTGGTAACACGTCAGACTACCACAGCCCGGCCGTGGACGCGGCGGGGGACGAAGGCGCACTCTTCGTCGCTAGGTCCTCAGCTGCGCTTGATGCGGTAGGGCGGTAATTGTCTGGAGACCCGAGTTCGATGCTCGGCGGTGGAATTCTCTCCTTTTCTTTTTTTCCCCCTCTTTTTCGGGTTGGCGATGATGGCCGGCGTGCTTGTTGTTTTTGGGTGCTGCTGGCTGGGGGTCACTAACTCCCCTGCTTAAGTTGGTTGTGCGTGGGTTCGTTCCTGTGGTGGATGGAGGAGGTTAGGCGGCGACACCATGACAGGACAGTACCTACATGTACCCAAGTGGTTTTCTAGGCATGCCCTGCGCACCTCCTGTATGCTTTACTACTGCCAGACCACCTATCCGTCGTTGTGCCAGATACGAGCATCTCCAATCCACCTCGTTACCTGTCTGCCTTCTCCCTTTCCTTCCCAAAAGCAAATTCCCATCACTCACTGCCAGAAAAACCAGTCAGTCCTGATCAAGTAATCTTCACTGCCAAAAGAGACGAAATGCAGAGGTCCCTGAGAAGCTTTTTGCTCACTCAGCATTGAGCCGTACTACTGTGGACAAGGAAAAAGATGATTATTCATGACCGAGCACCTCATGGTGGTCAGTGAAGCAAAGCAGCAAGCCTCGCCCTGTCGCAACAACAAATACGCAACACAAAGGGGATACACGTTAGTAAAGCAAACAAGAAGAAACAAGATGAATGAAAAAAAAAGGGGTCCACGATCCATTGACGTCGGGGGATGCATGGTCGACTGTAATGTGTGATGGTGGAACAGCAGCAGCAGCAGCCCTCGTCGCGTGACAACTGAATCATCCGAATGTTCCCGCCTCAGGAGGACTTGCAGTACAAGCAAGCAAAGGAAATGAAAAGGAAGAAAACCTGCCGCAGAATAAAAAACGCCAGTGGTGTCCTTGACTGTCCAGTCCGCCCCGCTCGCTATACGTGCGCCTGCTGCCATGCCCGAATTACCTACCTACCTACCTGATATGTACGTGCGCTCAATCACCCAGCACGCTTTCTTGCTCGCCCTCGCCCTCGCCTTCACCCTCTGGGCCGTCGTCCGCCATCTCCTCGTCTTCGTGCACCTCCAGCTCGCGCTGGCGCGTCTCTTCCTCCTCCCTCTCCCTCTCGGCCTCTTCGTCGTCTTCGTCTTCGCTGACGACCATCTCGGCGCTCTTTGCAGCCGCCTGCTGCTTCGTCGAACCGCCTCGGCCAGCGTTTGGGGGAGCACTGCTTGTCGCTCTGCTCTTGGCTCTGCCTTTGCTCGCCGCTGATGACTTCTTGCTCTTCTCGCCGTGGTCCGCCTCCAGGTACGCCACGACTTCTTTGAAGTTGTTGCCCAAGCGGTTTTTGTTTCGCTCCAGACGGCGGCGGATGGGACCAGTCGAATTGTATCCCGCCTCGCCCATCTCGTCCTCGTCTGTCCACTCGTTGTCAAGCCCGTTTTTCGACGGCTTGCCATCCAATACCCCCGCCACGATGGCAAGGACGAATTTGGCTGCGAGTTCGCACAGACGCTGCTCAGCTAGTAATGCTTCGCCAGCCTTGATCATTTGCCTCTGCTCAGACTCATCTTCCTCGTCTGATTCCTCGTCGTCACTTGATTCGGGCTCGTCCTCAATGTCAGCAGGCTCGTCATCCTCTGCAGGACCAATAAGGCTTTTGCCCGCCTTTTTGGCAAAAGCACGCTCGGCGGCGCCAAGGACTTGCAGCAGACTTTTCTGTTTCGGGGCTGGTACCTTCAGGACAAGCGCCAAGAAGTCATCGGTGTCCTGGTTTTCATCTTGCTGCCCAGCTGCATGGTCACCGTTGCCATTGGTCTGAGCATTCTCTCTCTTCTGCCTCTCGATCTCGCGCTTCTCGTCTCTTGCAGCGCGCGCCGATCTGAGTGATGAGAAAGCCGTGAACAAGTCGAGGGTAATTCCTGCAGCCGTGAGGCGGACTTCGTCTGCACCTTGGCGTTCGCGGAGGACTTCCTCAAGAGCGGAATTGAACGCGTCGCGACGGATGGCAATAGCTTCTACATCGTCGTCTGGGACAGAACCTATTGAGGTATCTTTGACTAGGACCTCCCAGTAACGTATCTTCCACAGGAAATAGAACATTAGAGACTGGGCCGCATTGACCGCAATGACATCTTCAGTGGCCGACTGAGCGGTGGAAGTGTCAGAGCTGGGCACGCCGCGGCGAACAAGATCAATGAGGATGGCGATAGCGTCAGAAGCTTCGGCAGGTTGGCTGCTATTGCGTTTCGTCTTCTTAGGCGTGATCGCGGGTGGTGCTTCAAGGGGCTCGACGCAGTCGGATATGCTCGCAAGCTTCGATATGCGAAGAACGGTGTTTGAAACGGCGGAGAGAACATTGTCGCTAAGGTTGCCTCTTTGTGAAAGCGGTTTGCCCTTATGCAATGCATGAAGCGCTGCCACCGTGTCTTCCCACAGCACCTGTAGCTTCCCTTCGGTGATTTCACCAAGCTCTTCGTAACTCTTCGCGTGCAATAGCGCTCGACTTGCCTCCACAAGGACTGCTTCGTTGCCGTGGCTCATGAATTGCTTGTTGATATCGTCGAGTAGCTGACTGTAGGTCGTGCTGTCCTGGCGCAGCTCCTGGAACACCTCTAGGTTGAGGACATGCTCCAAGCGAAGCACAGCAGAGGCTGCGTCGGGCACGGCGCCAAACTTGTTGAGTAGTTGTGGTATCAGAACGGCCAAGTGTCGAGCGGCAACCTCTTGCTCATCCTGCAAGCTTTCTTTTTGCGCCTTGGTGAGCTTGGACTTTTGGTTGTGAGGTTTGCCGGCTTCCATTGTGTGCGTTAACCGCATTTTTACCGACGCATTCAAAATGTCAAGTAGAATAATCTCGTCCTTCTCGGTGAGCTTGCACAATAGCTTGAATGCAGATTCGGGGTCTTCTGTTGCGCCATTGGTCTGGGCACCACCTGAACTCTGGGAATGATCATACAGAAGATATCCGGCAATGACCTCCCACTTCTGGAGCTCTGGTAGCGTGTCGTAGAGTGCCTCGGCAGCAATTTGGATGCGCGATTCCACTCCGGCGGCGACCATGACATGGCTGTTGACGAATCGATCAATCTGACTCGGTAGGCTTTCGTCGCTTTCATCGTAGACCTGCAAGTTTTCTACCAAGGACTTAAGCCTCAGCCACTCAAGCCTCGGATTTTCATAGTCGTCGTCATTGTCGACAGTGACCAAAGCCTCATCAAGGGCCTCTTGGCCTCCCAGCTCGTCAACGTTGGCATCGTACACGACTTCAATGTTCGATGCCACGAATCCCACCACGGCTTTTCTCACGCGCGGTTCAACATCGAAGATCAGGCGGCCAATGCTGTCGATATCGGAGGGCTCAAGAAGACCGACGTCAAGGAGGATATGGAGCAATTCGACGGTCGCGGCGCGAACACTTGGATCTGCATCCTGGGTAGCCATCTCAACCATCCTCGGGCGGAACCTCTCTGTGAAGGTCTTCAGGCCACCAAGTTTATCCGAGTCCTTGAACATTCCTTGCAACTGCTTCACCACCTCCAATCTCGTGGCGGCTGATACATCTGAAAGAACCCAGCCAAGGTATCGAATATGGTTGCCATCGAAGAAGAGGTCTGGGAAAGTGTTGATCCAGTCACTCAGACCTTGGACGCACTCCAGCCGTATCTTAGGGTCAACGTCGCGGTAACGGTGGACAAAGACGGTGTCGAACCAATCCCTGATGATGGCCTCCAATTTCTCTTGCTGCTCAATCGCCTGCTTGCTCTTCTGATCAAGCTCGGCCACTCTGCCCTTGTTGTTTTTGTTGCGCCTGGCCTCGGATTCCCTTTGGCGTATCGCCCTCGAATTCTTCTCGACAAGTTTCTTTCCTACCTCACAAAGCGCGCTAATGATGGCAGTGGAAATGGCAGTTGCAGTATGACGAAAGGGCCGACTCTTTCCCGAAGACATGGTGCTGAGCCAGATGTGGATGTTCTCCATGATCTCGGGGCTGTTGTACATCATTTCGGACTCGGCCAGTGTTTCGACAAGTGAGCTAAAGAAGCCGACCATGTTGTGGCGAAAGTTTGCAGTACCTCTGCCTTTTGCGATCAATGGATAGTCAACGTTGTTTTGCTGATAGACTGTCAGACCACAACCTCACCCCACGTTGACCCATTTACTCACAGCTTGGTATTCCTCTTGTATGTCATTCAGCTTGCTGTCACAGTTGTCGGGGTCCTCCATGTCGTGGTCATCGACCTTGGAATCGCATCCAGCGCACCTGAGGACGAAGTTTATGAGCTCCGCAAGCTCGCGCGAGTTGTGATCGTTGAACCGGTGCAACCACCGCGCCGCCACATCGTTAAGGTTGTCCCCGCTCGCAAAGACATCAGCTAAATCAAACAGTCAGCGCCGGCGCAAGCAAAAGGCTGTTCTTGGCGGCGTACCGTAGAGACCACCGACTTCCTCGGCAGCCGCAATCTTGCTCGGGCGCGGCTTTTTCGCCTTCTTTTGTTTCCCAGCTGGCCTTATCGCCAGGCTAAGCTCTCCGTTAGGCTTGCTCTTTTTCGCAGCAGGCTTCTTTTGCGGCTTGTTCTTTCGGGCCGCGACCTTCTTTCGCCTCTTTTCGCGAATCTCCTCCTCGTCTGGCTCGTCCTCGCTGCTCTCTTCGTCTTCCTCCTCCTCGACCAACGCGTTGTCTGCGTCGGCGCCTTCATCATCATCGCCCTCGTCAGCTTCGTTGCGCTTGCGCTTGGAGGGCGCTGGCGCAGAAGAGTAAATTGTCTCGGGCTTCTTAGTCACGCGTCCGGACTTGCGGCGACTGCCGGCGGCGGTGGTGTCAGCTGGGGCTTGCGCGTCGACTTCCGGCGAAGAGGGCTCCATGCTGGAGAGACGCGCTGGCATGGAACCGGGAGAGGAGCTGTTGGCGGTTGGCTGCGTCGAGTTTCCGGGCGCAAACCGATTTGCGAGAAAGGTGTCTTAGCCGACGCGTTGGGAGAGGTGTTGTTGGCCACGGAGCTGAACGAGACGAGCGACGGCGGGCAGCGAGCAAGGAAGACAAGCTTGGGAATCGCTATGTTGCGCAAATTCGGTTGAAGGATGCGAGGCGC